GCCTCGGGCTGGAGTTTGCGTGTATGTTAGAGAGGACATCTGTTCTCGACGCCTCGGCAGTCTTGAAGGTTCGGACCTGTCCATCCTTTGGCTACGCGTAGACAGCGACGACCATCCGCGCGTCTACGGGTGCCTCTATAGGTCCCATAGCGGTAATGCCGAAACAGACCGACTCATCGACCACGTCCAAATGGCTACAGATTCCTTGCTACAACAGGTCCCATCCGCAGAGATCGTGATCCTTGGCGATTTTAACGCCCACCATGCCGAATGGCTCGGTTCACGTTTAACCGATCATGCGGGGAGATCTGTTTATGACTTTGCCTTGGCATATGGTCTGACACAACTGGTTACTTCGCCTACGCGGATTCCAGATGTGGAGGATCATACACCTTCCCTGTTGGACCTTCTGCTGACCTCTCATCCGGACGGATATCAGGTTTCCGTCGATGCCCCTCTCGGCTCTTCGGACCATTGTCTGATCCGGAGTATGGTGCCACTCACGCTCCCTTCGCGGTTGCGTTCTGCAGGTTGCCGCCGTGTTTGGCATTACAGGTCGGCGGATTGGGACGGAATGCGGTCTTTCTTTGCATCCTACCCATGGGGGCGGGTTTGCTTCTCGCCGGATGATCCCAGTGCTGTTGCTGACTCTGTCACTGATGTGGTGCTACAGGGAATGGAACTATTTATTCCATCATCTGTGGTACCCATCGGAGGCAGATCTCAGCCTTGGTTTGGTCGCTCCTGTAAGACTGCATTGCGCAGTAAGCAGGAGTGTTATCAAGCCTGGGCTGCGGCTTCGGTGACTCGGGATGTAAACACCAGCACACTTAAAAAGAAGTATAACTTCGCCTCCAGGTCCTTCAAAAGAGTTATTGCCAAGGCAAAGTCAGAGCACATAGGCAGAATTGGCGAGAAACTAGTTCGCCTTCCTTCGGGAACCCGTGCATTCTGGTCTCTCGCCAAGGCTGTCCAAGGGAATTTCTGTAAGCCATCACTACCATCTCTGCACAGGGAGGACGACTCACTGGCCCAAGACGCAAAAGACATAGCCGACCTTTTAGGCTCCCTTTTTGCGTCCAACTCGACTCTTGATGACGGGGGGAAAATACCGCCGACCATCCCGCGGTGTGAGTGCTCCATGCCGGATGTGCTATTCTCACAGCGCTCAGTTCGCAAAGCACTTCTCTCCCTGGACATCCAGAAGTCGAGTGGGCCTGACGGAATCCCCCCAATTGTGCTGAGGACGTCTGCTCCGGAGTTGGCACCGGTCCTAACGCGTCTTTTCCGGTACTCCTACTCCCAAGGCGTAGTCCCGAATTCATGGAAGACAGCTTTTGTCCACCCGATCCCTAAAAAAGGCGACCGCTCAGACCCGTCCAACTATAGGCCTATCGCGATCACCTCCTTGTTCTCCAAAATAATGGAATCCATTATTAACTGCCAGCTCATCCGGTACCTTGAGGATCACCAGCTGATTAGTGACCGCCAATACGGTTTTCGTCGGGGTCGATCAGCTGGTGATCTTCTGGTCTACCTGACCCATAGATGGGCGAAGGCAGTAGAGTCCAAGGGGGAGGCGTTGGCCGTTAGTCTGGACATTGCGAAGGCCTTTGATCGGGTTTGGCACAAAGCGCTTCTTTCGAAGCTGCCTTCCTATGGGCTTCCCGAGAAATTGTGCAATTGGATCACCAGCTTTCTTGCAGATCGGAGCATCAAGGTCGTTGTAGACGGTGCATGTTCTGACTACAAGCCTATTAACGCTGGTGTTCCACAAGGCTGTGTGCTATCACCAACGCTGTTTCTTCTGCATATCAATGATATGTTGCTAACTGGTAACATTCATTGCTATGCGGATGACAGCACTGGTGATGCTCTATACACCGGCCGGGCCAATATTTCTCGGGAAAACGTCGCCGAGTACCGGAACAAACTTGTGTCTGAAGTAGAGTCTTTGCTGGACAAAGTCTCGGATTGGGGGCGACTAAATCTAGTCCAGTTTAATCCTCAGAAGACACAAGTTTGCGCGTTTACCGCTAAAAAGAACCCCTTTGTCGTATCTCCTCAGTTTCAAGGCACTCCCCTTCTTGCCTCAGCCAGTATCGGTATCCTCGGAGTCGACATATCGAGTGACGTGCAGTTTCGTGGTCACTTGGAAGAGAAGGCCAAATTGGCCTCTAAAAAGCTTGGCGTGCTCAGCAGAGCGGGACAGTATTTCATGCCGGCACACCGCCTGCAACTTTACAAGGCGCAGGTTCGGCCTCACATGGAATACTGTTCCCATCTCTGGGCAGGGGCTCCCCAGTGCCAGCTCCTTCCACTTGACCGCATCCAGCACAGAGCGGCTCGAATCGTCGACGACCGAGGCCTTTCCGATCGGCTCGATTCATTGGCACTGCGAAGAGATGTTGCATCTCTTTGCATTTTCTTTCGCATCTACCATGGGGAGTGCTCTGAGGAATTGTTCGGATTAATCCCAGCCGCCAAATTTCACGAACGCACATCGCGGCAGAACTCCCGATACCATCCACACCATCTGGATGATTGGCGGTCCACCACTGTGCGATTTAGAAGATGTTTTCTTCCTCGCACAACTTCCTTGTGGAATAGTTTACCACCAGGGATTTTTCCGGACCGATACGACTTAAGGACCTTCAAGAAAAGAGCCTACTCCTTTTTAAAAGGCCGGCAACGCATCTGCAATTCCCCTGGTGTTGCGGTTGTTCATGGGCGGCGGTAGTCACTTACCATCAGGTGAGCCGCATGCTCGTTTGCCCCCTCTCCTATAAAAAAAAAAAAAAAAAAAAAACACTGGAAACTCTTTACCAAAATAAATCACTTAAGATCTGGTCTGAAACACCAGGCTTAAAACATTCTAAAACCTTAATCCGGGCTTTCGACCGTAAATTCGCTTAGCAAGCCCTGGGATTAGATAAAAATAAAGTGCGCATTCTGGTAAGAGCCCTGACTGGACACTGTTATCTTAAAAAGCACATGTCTATCCTGGGACTAAGCAACTCAAGGATGTGCCAGTTTTGCTCCCATTGTTAAACGTCTTTACACATCCTGACGAAGTGCGGACTCTTAATGCGCAAACGTAGCACTCATCTGGGAAACTATGTACCCAGTATATATGTAACTATAAAGCCAGAAGAAGTGAAATTACTCACAGCTAAGCAGCTTCTTCTATTCATAGAGGACGTAGGGCTTATCAGTGATCTATAGACATAGCAGCGATCACAATAGATCTTTTAGGTCGCAGTGATATACTGGTCTCTCTAGACCCGCATAGCTGCTCGTACATAATAAAAAAAGTATAAAATAAGATAATCTATGCTCACGTGTCTGCCCGACCGCCCTGCGCGCGCCGGACCGCACAATTTTATATCGTCGTAACTTTTACAATATTTGACCAAACTAAGTATTTTAAAAGACAAAGTTGTCTACTTTGAATATCAGAAGCGATAAAAGTATTTATTTTGATAAAAATCTATTTGTTATTGCAAAATGTGGGCTGGAAATAAAGTATCATATTTTACTGTATTTATGGTTCACTATTTTGGTAATAATGGCTTACACATAAAATATGGATATATACAGTCGCGGACTTTTTGTATGTAATATTTTTTATTTACATTTAGGAGAAACAATTCCACCATACATTATATTCGTGTAACTCTAACAGTTTTTGCACCGCACGCCAAAATAGCTCGCAGATGACAAATTTTTTCCGACTTACTTAACATTTATCATTATATTTTGACCAATTTACACAATATCTTTATGAATTATACCTTATGTGTTATTCTGATGTATGAGCTATTTAACTGTAAAGTTCCATTAAAATCCATTTAGTAGTTTTTACGTGAAAGAGTAATAAACATCCCTACATCCTCACAAACTTTCACGTTTATAATATTAGTAGAAAGTAGGATAGTAGGAAGTAGGACTAATTTTTTAAGTGGCTTAGAATGTTCCATCATAATATATAAATTTGTTACTAAAATTTGTAAACCACTTCACATTTTGAATGATTTCTATTGGTAATTTTTTTTATTTATATAATTTTTTACCAAAATGCCGTATGAGGTATATTGTGGCTGGGTTGCCATTGTTTGTAATTTAAGAACGTTATTAAATGAGACAACCTTTATGTTCCTAGTCTAGTTTTCTACTGACTTAAATTTATAATAATATAACCTATTAGATTACTGGAAACCGTGAGCCACTCTACAATACTATAATATTCCAGTGCAACTTGTCTATCACCTCTTCCAGCCTCAGGATCTTTTCGTCAGTCCTCAGGGTGCGTGCATTATATGTTACCCTGCCATGGGGGGTATATTGCCATAGTTGCAACGCTTGGCGAGCGGGTTGGCAACCGCAGCTTTTTATTGTTATTTTAATGTTATCAGAAAGTAGCTGCTGGCCATCTCCTGCTTCAATTTTTATGACAAACACGGGAAGATATGGGGTAGTGGATATCCTTACACCGCCACTACACGGGGCTATTCTAGAACATGTGTATACGTGTATATGTGTATATAATAATGCCTCAGTGGTTTGCTCTTTAACTTGTTGCACATTTTTAACTCTGAACTTCTTCTACTTTTAATAATACCCGTTGATTAGTTTATTCGTTTCTAATCTAATTAACATGAAACAACAAATATTACGGAAAGAAACCTTAACCCTTAATCTTAAATTTCTGTATCGTACCACATAACGAGCCATACATATCTTGTTTTGAATATATATAAATAAAATGAAAGAAGTTTGCAGTTGTGTGCGCATCACAGAAAAGCTACCTGCATATATTTCAATTAGGTTTTCTAAGTTTTGCTTCTTAGACACTTGGTTCTAATCTAAAAAAATATTGCGATATCTTCATTTAATATAAAGTTATTAAAGTTTTAAGAATCAAAGATTTTTTGATGTGCGTAAGCAAAACGGACGAAGTCGCGCGTATCAGCTAGTATAAACATAAAACAATAACTTACCGTTCTTCATTGGTAAGGTAGTCAACAACATGTTCGAGCCCGACAAGGTACACGAAGTCAGTGTTGCTAGGTGAGGGTATGAAGTTCATTTCCGGCGGCGGGGGTTTTGGTGGAGGAATCTGTTAACAATTACCAAAATGATATTTTTTAAATATAAAATGACTGGACAAATATCATCGCTTGATGCTGCTGTGTTTCGTATTGTGAGTGTAGAGAACCGGAGACCCTTTTTACTTGAAAAGAGGCATTCCATCTTAGTCCTCACGGCTGACAACGCATCTGCGTTTTGATTCGAAAACGAGAATAGATGTAGTTTATGGGCCACAGCAACCACTTACCATCAGGTGGATGGTGTGTTCGCTTGTCACCCTTATCCTATAGAAAAAATATCTTAGAAGCATTTACAGTAACTGTAATTAGATTGTTTTTGCATAAAGTTCATTCCATCATAGTTCTCAACATTGCATCCGTTGTGACCTTCTTTGTTTGAAGTTACTGCAAATAATCTATATACGTATATCTATGAACTACAATGGGCTTCAGACATCTAACTTTGTTGACTGGAAACTCTCTTGTCTATTTAGTAGAACTAAATGTATATAGGTATTGAAAAACCTTAATACGGAGGACTAGACGGACGGAACTAACCTGAAGAAGAGTCTTCTCCAGTTGCTTACGCAACGCCAGTTTAGCAGCGGCCTGCCTCTGGGCAGGTGTTTGTGTATCATCAGAACTACGGGAGCTTGCCTGCAATAATAAAAGTAGCAATAAATCGATTTAAAAAATATATTAATAAGTTCAACAATCATTTATCTTTCTGACAATGTGCTTTTTATATAATTTATGTGTTCAATATGATTTTTAGATACAATTTTATGCGACAAAACGTTGGAATCTTCATTTTTTGGCGCTAGTAGAACATACCTACGCGCTTTGAGCCTAAGGCATGCAGTATATTTTTTTAATAAATATGTGTGGATTAGAAAATTTCCAAAATTTAGTTAGGAAAAACATTTTTAAAACTGCTATTAACAATACTACAACTGCTATTAGCAACTGATGATGATGAGATAATGTTTCATTTATCACCACCTGTGTCAGTGACTTCTATTACTTCAACTATGTTATAGATTAAATTTATCCGAATTATGATGAATTACAGATATTTAAAAAAGAAGATGGTAGATAAAATGCTAAAGTCAAAATAAAATGTTATTAAAATAATGTTTCGTTCCAAATTGCACACTAAACAACTTCACTTTTTTGTGATGACAACATTAAAAATAATTTCTAAGAGAACTAAGCAACTAATAATTCAGTACCCTATAACAACTTTAATGTATTCGTGTTAATAGTCTTCTAAGATTATTACATGTGCATCTGATATGATTTTTGAACGCATGCAAATTAGTAAATATGCCGTAAACCAAGATACCGCTGTGCTGAATGTGGCAATAATTGTATTTTTTTTATATACTTGTGCACGAAGAGACTTAAATTACAATAGCTCCTTCTTATTAATAAAATGAGTAATAACAACAAATTTATAAGAATGCAAACCATATATAATCAAAAACAGATAATTTTATGATTGATGATTACAATCAGTAAAATGAACAAAATAAGCGTCTGTTTGAAGTATGTAAAATGTTATAGCATAACATTACATTAGCCAGTTTATTTGTCAGGTAGCTTTTTAGCTAAACGATGGTGTTCAATCAAATGTCTAAAGAATGTTTAGCCAAATTTCTTAATGTAATATAAGGGCCTGCGCTCACAGACGGCATGGCATGACATGGCACGGCGTGGCAAGGCACACTTCGGTATGCCGGACGATCCTGTGGCATCCCGCGTCATGCCAAACAAGTCAAGACGCGTTCGTGTACCGGGCGAATCGTTGAAATTGCCGCCACAACAGGCTAGATTTAACCTTTTTGCAATTACTTAGCAGTCATATTCCTTTAACAACATGAAGTAACCTATGCGTTCCACGCGGGGTGCCGCGGCATCGTATGCAATGCCGTGACGTGACGCAGTATTCCTCGGAATGTTGCACGAAACGTTTCGGTCTATTAGTGTAGAAATAAAGGAATTTCAGTGCTAAATTCATTAAAATAAGGTCGAAAATCTTTTGTCCACGAAAAAAATCCTTTGACACGCCGTGCCATGTCGTGCCGTCTGTGAACATAGGCCCTAATATTTAATAGGTCGTCCACTTCCCTTTAATATGAAACAAAAAAAGGAAACCTGAAAATTTTCTTTCGCCGTTTCTTCTTCAACCAGAACAACATCATTTCAAGCGGTGGTAGATTTAAAAAAATAATATTTGACAAACTACATTTTATTTCCTTACATCGAAAAAATAAATATATAAAAAAATGCCTTGGCTAATATTTGTAGGCATATCCATGTTTACGGTAGTTTAATTACCACAAAGCTCAATTAAATCGAAAAAACTATATCAAATGTTGACTCCATCTTGTAAAACAACTAGTAATAGTGCAGTGACGGAAAAAGAAATTAAATTTTTATCACTTTCTGTCTTATGATTCAGTTGCTTTGAAACTTTTGATCAGCCAAAATGTATTATGTGCAACGTCGTAATTCCGGCATTTAAAAGCGGCCTGGCTGTCCAATTAAACGGCTATCTAACCTTTGAACTGAAGATAAATGTTTAAAGTAATGTGTTCCATGATAACTCAACAAATAATGCAACAATAATAAAATATCCAGTGTAATAATTATAAATATAGGTCAATATTGAGAAAGTGACATCACTTTTCCATACTCACTGCATCACTCGTGCTACTGGTGACAGATGAATTGTCCTGAGCAGGCTTGTAATAAAATATATATTTATGTATATTATATGGATCAACATTTTATTTCAAACATTAAAACAAATTTGAAACCTCTTTATCAACCGACTTCAAAATGGAGAAGGTTCTCAATTCGCCGGAATATTTTTTTTGTATGTCAATGATTACTCGAACACGCCTGAACCGATTTGGAAAATTCTTTATTTGTTTCAAAGGGTTACTTCTCAGGTGATCCCATATAAATTTGATCAAGGTCTGACCAGTGGTTTATCATTATCACATGAGTTATCCTTAATAATTTATATTGAAGTAGGTTGTACAAAATTTTTAATTTCACCACTTGTCAATAACACTAAATCAAATTAGTAACAATTAGAAAGCATATGCAAATAATGATTATATGAAAAATAAAAGTAAAATTGGTAACTAAATGTCACAAATGTGCATTACAAAGTTTAAAAATATATATTAAAATTGAGAATCTCCCTCTTTTTGAAATCGTATTACATAGATATTATACCATAAATAAAATGTTTTCTTACTTTGGCATATGAAAAATGGAAAGTTTTTAAAATGGGTGGTATATTTACCTTAGGTTGCGCATGTTGTGTGGCGGCCGGGGGCGGCGCCGGCGTTATCGTCACCGACGGAGTGATGCTGGCGCCTCCACTCGATGAACTCTGTCACCGAAATACATTATATATATAATTTTAATAGATGCCAGTAATTCACTTATTTATATTTGCTAATCAATAATATAATACGTTTATAAATAATAAAATACTACGAAAAGAACTTCGTTCGAACCGAGTGTTCCACGACACTCACGCATGTTTATTTTTAAGTTTATGTTATACGAGTATCATAACTTTTATCTGGGTGAACCAATTTCGACGATTCTTTTTTTATTTGAAAGCTGGTGTTTCTCATGTAGTCCCATATAAATTTGATCAAGGTCTGACTAATATAATTTGACGGCTCCGTGGCGCAGTGGCTTAGCAATGAGTTGTTGCGCTGGGAGCCGCGGGTTCGTATACCGCACGGAACAAGTATTTGTATGGCCTACAAATAATTGTTCCGGGTCTGGATGTTTGTCCTTGTGCAATTTATGTTTGTAAATTGCCTCTACGATACAGGAGAAAATCCTAGTGTGGAGGTAACGTTTTATAAAAAAAAATATCTTAGAGTCAATAAATTAATTTTTAAAAATACCACAAATTAATATTTTAAAATTTTTGTGTACTTTAAATTTTCATAGTCAGAGGAAAATAATATGGAGGCTTGGAATTAGCTATTCTTATTACCGTTTTGTAACTTAACGAAGATATTAGCCAGTAAGTAAGTAGCCTTACTAAAATCTACTGTATAAAAAATAATATTTGTTTGTTATTATGTTATGCGCTGCCATACCGTACATCAGGTTGCGGCAAAACTTTGTCAACTAATATATGCTTACACGTGCGCGAAGGTTATAGGCATAGTACAATTAACTTATAAGTAGGTGGAGCACGTGTCGTACCAACAAATTTAATTGAAAGTTACATAGATTATATCATTCAACGTCAATGAAAGTATAACCATTCCTAATTAAATAACGTAACTCCTCAAAATTTAAAACGATATTTGCACAAATATTTCTTCTGCGGCAGCAACGCGCCAGCTGGTAAATAAATAATAAACGATTCTTTTATGAGATCAGTGTAGTATTGGTATTATTATAATGAAATGTAGCCTACGACGACAAACTTGGAATGGAGATGAATCTAAAAATTCAAAGACACTGGGTAATCCCACTGACCTGCGAGCGATAGGGTCCCGGTGTGAGCGTGGCGCCCCCCGGGAGGCTGGAGGGTCGACGAGCGCTCGAAGACAAATTATTACCCGTATTTCCTGTTGCACCCGCGCGCTGCAATAAATCACAACATTTTAACACCTACATAGCATTTTTTACAAAAGGGCTGATAACTGTTCAGTTATTTTTTGATATTTCAATATTAAGATTTTTTTAGTTAAATACACAATCACTAACCGTTGCCCGCGGCTTCGCCTGCGTGGAAGCAGAAACGCCTCCGTGCACATTTTTCAAAAAAATTTTTATGTGGTAATTTTCCCATGTTTTCACCTGTGACCCATTACAAACCATGTAATGGGTCATGTGTATGTAAATTTTATACAAATTCATTTAGCCCTTTATGCTTAAGTAACAAACATCCAAACATTTTTGTAAAAATTCACATAAGTATATAATATTATAATACACATTTTAAATGTTTTTATGATAATTGATTACTACAGTAAACCACAGCTTTTAATATACTAAAATTAAGTTCTCATACATAATATATTAATGAACTTGACTGAAGAATGTTATTAAGGTTTATTTGTATTAAAAATAATAATTAGTGCTACTTTATATTCTTATTACACTGATGACACAAGTCTCTAAGGTGATTATTTTTATTTTTTATTTATTTATTCATAGAACACCAGCAGGGCACACATTATTACATTTTATTGAAAGTGGGCTTAATCTAGGGACTGATGTGTGCACCCTTGTAGGTGACACAGCATTACAAAATTCTATAAAAATTAAGGCAGGGCAGAGCTACAATAACTTATAAAGAAATATGTCACAAAAATAATATTTAAAGATAATGTATAACCAAAACAATAAAGACATGCACATAACTAAGCAGCAGCTGTAGGGAACATGGATATTAGATTATAATTAAATCATTCACGATTTATTTATAATAGTGATCTATTACATTATTCCTATAGTTAGGGAAAATATCATGAAAAATATTAATTACTAGCTGTTCCCCGCGACTTCGCTCGCGTTCAATTTAGGGTATTAATTTTTTTGCGCGGAACCCTAATTGTTTTTCTAAAATAAAAGTAGCCTAAGTTACTCCTTATAACATCAGCTATCTGCCAGTGATCTTTGCAATCTTTGTTATCTGCAAGTTCCTTCAAAATCGGTCCAGCCCCTTCGGAGATTATCCGGAACAAAGACAAACAAACAAAAATTTTAAAAATTGTGTTTTTGTTTTAAATACCGTATACACTTTCATATGTATTGAGTAAAAAGCTGTTATTTTGATATTACAAACAGACACTTTAATTTTATTTATTTGTATTGATTTTAATGGCAATGTAAAAAACCTTATTCTGCTGGTGAGCAGGTGGAGGAGCTGGCGTCACCGTCACACCGGGAGGGACTACGCAGCCACTACCTGCCAATGCTGTACCAGTTGTAGAGTCCTGCAAATATAATTTGAACTATTTACTAAGAACAACTGCACTGGAGAAGCGCGGCGGACTAATTGCTCCATAACCCTGTCGGAAATAAGGTGAGGCTTGTACCCAGCAGTGGGATGCATATAGTTCACTTCACTAAAAATATTAGTAATATTTCAATACCTTTTGTAGCCCTATGTTTTAATGTGTCATTAGATGTGAATTGTAATATTCTACTAATGGAAATGCTAGAAAAAATTTACGACCTGTGGTCAAAGACGTATTAAAAAAGATATGACAGGTTACACACTAACATTATTGTATTTTAAAGTGGCGCAGGTAGTACTATATCTACGAACAGTTATTTATTATGACAAGTTTCATTGTCATTTTTTCATTACATCCCTTCACAAGTCCACTGCTGAACATAGGCCTCCCCCAAGGAATGCCACAAAGTACGGTCCTGAGCCACCTGTATCCATCGACTTCTTGCATATCTTACCAGGTTGTCACTCAATCTAGTGGGGGGACGCCCTACACTTCGCCTACCGGTACGGGGCTGCCACTCGAGAACCTTTCTTCCCCATCGGTTGTCGGTTCTTCGAGCTATATGGCCGGCCCACTGCCACTTCAGCTTACTAAGCCGTTGGGCTATGTCGTTTACTCTGGTTCTACTGCAGATATACTCATTTCTAAGTTTATCACGCAATGAAACCCCGAGCATAGCCCTCTCCATAGCTTGCTGAGCAACCTTGAGCTTCCTCATACGGTCAGCAGTGAAGGACCACGTCTCAGCAAGTCATCGCTGGCAACACGCGCACTGGTTGTACAATTTCGTTTTAAGGTTTTGAGGTATGTCTGACGAGAAGATGTGTCGTAGTTTCCCGAACGCTGCCCAGCCGAGTTGAATTGTTGACATGTTGCGCTAACAAACCGCGCTAACAAAAAGAGACAAATGATAGGACATACCAATCGTTAGAAAAAGATGAATATACATCATTAGTTGCGTATTGATTGCTGCCGAGCGCTAATTGACGCGAGCGCGTGACATACCGATATGGAAAATGAACACTAGCTAGCGTCAAAGTTTACACTAGCGTGTTAGTGTTGAAATAATAAAACCAATTATGAACAAAACATCTATATTCACAATATTAATGAGACGTTTTTTTTGTCTCTAACAGTTATCGTGTAATTTGTGCATCAACTAAAAACATAGGAAGGCATTTTTGCCACGATTAACTAGAAGATTTACGCGCTGTAGCGAAGGTACAGCCGCGACGCGAGAGCGTGCCCAACTGAATGCGAGTCGGGCAATTACAAGACATTCGTATTGCCATTTTAGAGCGAATATGACGTATCTATACTTTTAAAAACATCTTAGCCTATGGTATGCAGACAAATAAATATCTCAAAAGGTTTATATTACGTATTTTCACAGAAACTGCTAAAGTGACCTCTGGATTTGCTTATCGAACATGAAAATTAAAGAAAAACTTCAGTTTTAAAGAGATGTTCCACAACAGTTTGATGATGAAATAATGTGTACCTTTGCAGGAGGTATGCCACTTGCTTGCTGCGACTGACGTAGCTTCCTCAATAGAACTAGACGAGTCTCCTCTGCGCGCAATTTTTCTCTTAGAGTTCTGAGCCTGCGTTCCCGCTCCCATATCTCAGCGCTTGATAATTCCTACAAAGAAACAACATCTGAATTGAAAGTAAATTTTCGGAACGAAGTTCCTTACTGCACGTTACGAATTTGATGGATGGGGGGCTAGGCGAGAAGTGAAAGATTTTTCCGTTACGACCCCCTTTCTGTAGTGCAAGCGAGATGGAATAATAACCATCTCCCTCGCACTTTTTCTTATCTTGCCACGAAAGGAATATTATTTTAAATGACTCTTCATTTTAATAGACGCTAGTAATTCATTTATTTGTATTTGTTAATCATAATATACTACGAAAGGAACTTCGTTCCAACCGAGTGTTCCACGACACTCATGCATTTTCTTTTACTAGCATGCGTGAATGTCGTGAAACACGCGAATAAATTATTTTTCACATTTTTAGATGATTCATTTTATTACATTGTTAATGTTTCTTAACTTTAAACAAAAATTGAATAATTGATAGAATCAGCCGTTATTTTGCGGAAATCCATTATAATGGGGTTGTTATAAACTAATTTGCTTAATTCCGCGTGAAGAAAGAAAATGATGTGTCCTGCCCAGTTTTAAGGGGACCTCCCACCCTCCCTCAATCGCGCGCACTATACCCATCGCCGTTAATCCCAGCACTACCACCCCCAGCACCACCTCACTAGGCACGGCACACCACTCTAGAAAATACGACACGTGTTTCGCCTCTACACGAGGCATCCTCAGGTGAAGTAGACTCTGCGGAGGCTGGCCGCTAAGTGAGCGCCGTCAGTAATAAAAAGGCTGTATATTATCTTGGGTTAGCTGTGACTTCAGGACAGGATACTAAACACATTTGTTTTCTTTAAACTCACCCATTCTTAACCCGCATTCTACAACTTTCAAATTTTCCAAACAACTGTCCATAAATAGGTTGAACAGCCCCGGGGAAGCCACATAGCCTTCCGAGTCCGAGTAGGTCCCGTTGACACAAGCACTGGAGCACCTATAAAGAGACTTCAATGCCTATATCAACCCAGCGCTCAACCCAAATGAGTTCAGCGTTTGCCATACCACATCCCTGTCCACTCTGTCATAAGGCTTTTCCAAGTCCATGTAAGCACAAAATACTTTTGGTTTTTGGCCAAAAACTTCTCCACGATCATGTGCATGGAAACCACTCTAAATCGCGCTTGCACATCTCAAATATTTCCATCAGTTTATTTCATAACTCTTTCAATTAGTACCTTAGCATACAGTTTTCGCACAATGCTAAGAAGGCTGATACCACGGCAGTTTTTAAAGTACTGCTGTGATCCTTTTCCTTTATATATTGCTACTATCACGGCTTTGCACCAGTCTCCCGATACCTGCTTTAGTTCCTAACATAAATTAAACAATGTGCACAGCAGGCCCGCCACCACTCCAGTCCTAAATTACAACAAATTAAAATTAAACTCCACAAAACCCATATGAATAAGTTTTATTCAATTGTAGTATTATATGCGAGTATATATGTAGTATATATATATAATGCAACTGATATTGAAGTTATATTTGTTTTGCAAAAGAGAGCCGTTCGGGCGATTTACAACCTAAATTGTAGTCCCTCAGACTAAAATTTAAAGAAATAAACATATTAACTTTGGCATCGCAATATATTTATGAAAATGTAATGTATGTAAATAAAAACATAAATAGCTTTAATAAGAATAAGGATGTGCATACTTTAAACACTAGGAACAAACATAAGCTTGTAATACCAGATACTAGACTCCACAGAATCAGTAATTCATTTATGGGGCAATGTATACGCTTTTACAACAAAATCCCAGAAGATATTCAAAGTTTGTCAATAAACAAGTTTAAAAGTTTTATTAAAGAAAAACTGTACAAAAAGGGTTTTTTTTTTATAGGAGAGGGGGCAAACGAGCATGCGGCTCACCTGATGGTAAGTGACTACCGCCGCCCATGAACAACCGCAACACCAGGGGAATTGCAGATGCGTTGCCGGCCTTTTAAAAAGGAGTAGTATAATATCAAGGAATACATGAATGAAAATAACCCCTGGGAATAAGGTGATCGCCACCATGCTGGTTCTATGAAAAATTATTTAAAAATTGTATAAACGAAATTATGTTTGAAAAAAAAAGTCCCGCTCGGTTTCTTGCTGGTTCTTCCCAGGACAGAGGTATTTTCCGAACCAGTGGTAGATAAAAAATGACTTTCAATAAGAATTATGTAATAATCAATATTGAATAAAAAATTATTCTATTCTATTCTATTCAATTAGAAGTCTTAGAAGCTTAGAAGTTCTGCAGTGTAGAATGGCATCCTAACCATGAAGCTAATACAAAGGGGAGACGGCATAAGCAACTGTGCACTGTGATTCTAAGTAGGTCCTGACGTCATCATAGTGGGCGTGGCTTTAGTTAGTATACTGTCAGCATTCGTCCTGTGCGCTTATGTGTTGAAAAAATCACAAATCGGTGTATTTTCGTAGTATTAAGAAGAAAAGGACGAAGTGTTGTGTTTTATTGTGTAAAAACTACTCAGATAGACGCACTGATGTTATGGATGGCATCACATTTCATTTGTAAATAATTTTACACCTAATTTATTAAAATAGTTCTAGAAAAATCTCTTTGCGTCGGCTTTCAAATATAATTAAATATATTCCACACTAGATGGCGACACTTTGTGTCCTGTGAACTAAAAATATAAAGGTACGTAGAGCTCAGTAATGATAAAATAATCATACGAAGGTGCTGAAATTTGTTTTGCATTCACACATAAAGAAATTTTAATCGCCAATATATTATTTTTATAGTTTATAACCTTTTGTGGACATGCCGCCATCTACCGTCAAGGTAGCTAAGCTACATTGTAACATCGATATGGAAAGATTCGAGTAGTTTTACTATTTATCGGTAGATGTAGATGTAGTGTAAAGTGGGCAGGGCTTTGCATCCCCTCACCCCGCAAATTGTCACGCGTTGTTACATAGTGAAATTTAATTAAAACGTCTCCTCTTTATATTTGCTTCATGATCCTCATCATCATCATCATCATTACAGCCCTTCACAAGTCCACTGCTGAACATAGGCCTCCCCCAAGGAATGCCACAAAGCACGGTCCTGAGCCACCTGCATCCATCGACCTCCTGCATATCTCACCAGGTCGTCATTCCATCTAGTGGGGGGACGCCCTACACTTCGCCTGCCGGTACGAGGCTGCCACTCGAGAACCTTTCTTCCCCATCGGTTGTCGGTTCTTCGAGCTATATGGCCGGCCCATTGCCACTTCAGCTTACTAATCCGTTGGGCTATGTCGGTCACTCTAGTTCTACTGCGGATATCCTCATTTCTGAGTTTATCACGCAGAGAAACTCCGAGCATAGCCCTCTCCATAGCTCGCTGAGCGACCTTGAGCTTCCTCATCCGGCCAGCAGTGAAGGACCACGTCTCAGTTCCGTATGTCATAACTGGCAACACGCACTGGGTGTACAGTCTCGTTTTCAAGTTTTGAGGTATACCTGACGAGAAGATGTGCCGTAATTTCCCGAACGCTGCCCAACCGAGTTGAATCCGTCGATTGACCTCTCGGTCGAAGTTGGACTTACCTAGTCTGACTATTTGTCCCAGGTAAACATACTCGTCAACAACTTCGAGCTTAGTGTTCCCAACAACTACCGGCATAGGTGTGACATGGACATTAAACATGATCTTTGTTTTGTCCATGTTCATCTTAAGACCTATCCGTTGGGAAACACTATTGAGGTCATTGAGCATAGTGCTTAGGTCCTCCAGCGATTCTGCCATAAGGACTATATCGTCGGCAAATCGAAGGTGAGTGATGTACTCGCCATTGATGTTGATACCGTATCCTTTCCAGTCCAGAAGCTTGAAAACATCTTCCAATGCAACGGTAAAGAGTTTCGGGGATATGACGTCACCCTGTCTTACACCTCTCTGCAATTGGATAGGTTTCGTACTCTGGTTCTGTACTCGGATACCCATCGTAGCCCTACTGTACAAGCACTTCAACACTTCGATATACCGACAGTCAACTTGGCATCGCTGAAGGGACTGCAGCACCGCCCAAATTTCGACGGAATCAAAGGCTTTCTCATAGTCCACATACGCCAGACATAGTGGCAAATTGTACTCCTCGGACTTCTGTACAATTTGCCGAAGGGTATGTATGTGGTCTATGGTGCAAAAGCCTTTTCGGAAACCGGCTTGTTCGGGAGGCTGGAAGTCGTCAAGTCTGCGCGCGAGACGATTCGTAATGACTCTCGAAAACAGCACGTAGACGCGGCTCAGAAGGGAAATCGGTCTGTAGTTCTTCAAGAGAGCGTTGTCGCCTTTCTTGAAGAACAAGACCACCGCACTTCTGCTCCACGCCTCCGGTGTAATGCCACCATGGAGGACGGAATTAAAGAGCTTCTGAAGGACTTCAAGTACCGGTTTTCCACCCGCTTTCAGAAGCTCCGCTGTAATTCCATCCTCGCCTGGGGCCTTGCCGTTTTTAAGGTGCTGGAGAGCCATTCTAATCTCGCTCAGACTGACGTCCGGGATATCATCGGAATAATGTCGGATAAGACTCGCTCTTGGATCGTTACTCACACTTGCGTGCGGCTCCAACGATGACGTGTACAGCTGCCCATAGAACCTCTCAATCTCACTCAAAATCTCAGGTGCCCCGGAAACGATGCTGCCACATTCTGTCTTCAGCTTTGACAGTTGGCGCTTTCTGGCAGACATATCTCTGGCAAAGACTTTGGAGCCTCGGTTCCGCTCGATCGCTTCTTCAATACGAGCTGTATTGAATTTGCGTAAGTCCCGCCGCATGCATTTGGAGATCTGTCTGTTCAGTTGCCTGTATGCTGTTAAATCTGTTGAAGAATGTAGCTTCATCTCCCGTCTAACAGCCATGAGATTAAGAGTGTGATCGGAGAGTTTTTGTGTTCTTCTGCGGCGGGTCTTGCAGAACTTAGCTCCGACCGCATGGACAGTTTCCACGAGCTTGTCATTCAAATCGTCCACTTCATTGCAGTCTTCTAGGCACTGAAAACGGTTTTGTAACTCGAGCTGAAAGGTTTCGGGACTTTGGATTAGAGCACGAGGGGGACGGAGCGTTGACTTCATTAGACGAGACCTCTCCAACTTAACGTTTAGGTTCAGTGTGCCTCTAACCATTCGGTGATCGCTGCCGGTTTTCACCCTCGCGATCACTGAGACATCACTGAACAGTTGTCGTCTGGTCGTCATAATGAAGTCAATCTCATTTTTTGTCGAACCGTCGGGGCTCGACCAGGTCCACTTCCTGTGGGGCCGCTTCTGGAAGAAAGAGTTCATCATAAAGAGTCCCTCTTTCTCCATGAAGTCGGCCAGCTGCTGGCCCCTTGGGTTCCGTTGCCCTATTCCAAATTTCCCTACTTTCAGCTCACCGTTCTCTCTTGTGCCTAGTTTTGCATTGAAGTCTCCCATTAACACCGTATATTGGGTTTTGGAGGAATGCATGGCTCTAGAGATATCCTCATACATTTCCTCCACCTCCTGATCGGGGTGTGCCGAGGTTGGTGCGTAAACCTGTATGACCTTCAGCAAATACCGTTTGGTGATTCTGAGTATAAGGTACGCAACCCTCGTCGACACACTCTCAATCTTTACAACGTTGTTAACGAGAGACTTGTGGACGATAAATCCGACACCTCCTTGGGACAGATGGTCGCCCTCCCGGTGATAGAGCAAGTTGCCGGATTCGAGGATTACCGTGTCCTCCCCCCCTCTTCGGATTTCGGATAATCCTATAATATGCCAGCGTAACTTGTCTATCTCTTCTTCCAGCTCCACAATCTTCTCGTCAGTCCTCAGGGTGCGTGCGTTGTATGTTGCCAGGTCGAGTCGTCGTAGGTGGCAACCGAACCTCCACCGGAGATTCTTAGCACCCCCTGCCCCGCCGTTACCATGGTCGCCACCGTAGCCAGGAATAGCGGGGCCGCCGGGGACTGGGGGCCGTTTATTATTGTCATTGCTCATGGGGGGTATATTGCCATAGTTGCCACGCTTGGCGAGCGGGTTGGCAACCGCAGTTTTTTATTGTTATTTTGGCTATTATCAGGAAGATGCTGCTGCCCATCTCCTGCCTGTTTCCCTTTGTCGCCTTTTACGACACCCACGGGAAGATATGGGGTAGTGGATATTCTTAACCGCTACTACACGGCCATGATCCTAACCGAAGCAAATTGTGGTGGTCACTTTCATGATTCAGAGGGGCAGGAAAGCGGATCCTGGCAGAAAACTGGATAATGCGCAAAGAATAAGGAGACACACTCACTCTATGTCCAGCTATGGGCAGGGGTGGCTCGTTCTCATCCTCCTCGGACTCTTCGTCTTCTCGCGGCTCACGAGGCGACTCTGGCGCCGGCACGGGTAACGCACTGGGCGTTATTGATACATTCACGCCCGCATTCAACTTGCTGCTAACATCTGAAAGACACAAGAATATTATATTATATATCAATAAATCAATTAATGAATAGTCCCAAAACACCTTTAGCCACTATGTAGTATTAGAAACAGAAACAAACTTTTTTATTCAATATAGATTATAAATAATACTTATTGAAAGTTACTCCTTTGTTTAATTACCACTGGTTCGAAAAAACCTCTGTCTTGGGAAGAACCAGCAAAAAACACAACGGGACTTTTTATTAAATAACAGCTTACAATCATCTATGTTATTCAATTAACCACATAAAACAAATTAGAAATAGCTTGGTAGCGATCACCTCATTCCCAGGGGTTATAATAACAATAAATATATAAATAAATTCATAAATTCCTTAATATTATAATAACACTTTTTATACAAACTTAGTTTAATAAAGTTTTTGAACTTTGAGCAGGTCAAATTTTGTATATTTCCTGGAATTTTGTTGTAAAAGCGTATATATCGCCCCAAGAATGAATTACTGACTCGGTGAAGTCGAGTAACTGGTACTATTAACTTGTGTCTGTTCCTAGTATTTACAGAATAAATATCACTTATTTTTTTTATAACTACTTTTATTTTTGTATACATACATTACATTTTCATAAATGTATTGAGAGACCAAAGTTAATGTAAGTTAATATATATTATCCGGGTAGGTAACTCGTGCACTGCAGCAATTTAGAAAATGAGTGGAACATGGTTTGGTAATTAAATTATTTATAGAAGCTTTTAAACATGAGCTACTGATTACATGCCTCAACTTTTGAGAATGTATAGTTTGAGATGACTTCGCCATGCTCTCCCTGGAGACTTGCCAGAATGCTAATCTACTAAATAGTAAACAAATATGTTTACCATTAATGGGCAAAGCGCTCGCCTTTGAGAGAGAGTAAACAGGAGTAGAAAGCTTGGAGTTCCATATAATATGGGTATGAAAAACTCACATCTTCAAAGCAGTATATCCAAACATTATTATTTAATTTCTCTCATCTCTGACAACACAGTACTTGCCTTCTACAACATAGTAAAGCAGCACTTAAAATTACCACAAACAATGTTCAGTGGTGCTACCACTGATGATGGGAATATGGTTGTTAATATACTGTGAAATAAAGGAAGCGTAAAAGAACTGTACAGTACATTTAATAATATTCTTTCTCTTCCTACTATATGCATGGAATTATACAATGTAACAATTCATTTTGACCATAGTTTCTTCGCATTTATTGAATTATATAAATAAATACCTGTAAATGGTGCTGGCGCAGGCAAATTAGGTTTACGATGTGGAGGCGCAGCTGGCAACAACACAATGTCAGGGCTTTCTGCATAGCTCCGCTGTTCTGAACGTGGACGTAACACACGCTTCCCACTAGCACCCTAAACAGTATAATAAACATTTTATTTAAATATTACAATACTACAATAATATCATATAGTGGCGGTGTAAGAATATCCACTACCCTATATAACCTATATCCCGTGGATATCGTAAGAGGCAACAAAGGGAAAGAAACCAGATGGGCAACAGCATCTTCCTTATCTATATAAATAATTTGATAGAGGTTTGCAGTTGTGCAGCAGTGAATAAATTTCAATTAGATTTTCGTAGTTTTGCTTCTTAGACACTTGGCCCTTATCTAAATGTATATATATTGCAATATCTTCATTTAATATAAAGTTATTAAAGTTTTAGGAAACAAAGACTTTTATTAGTACTTCCTGTTCAGTGATGTGTGTCAGCAACGCGGACGAATTCGAGGGTAACAACTAAAATATATATGGTATGGTATGTAGACATGGCAAAGTAACTGGCATCAGTCTAAATTTTTAAATGTAAACACTATTCCAAAGTCCAAATTAATACCCCTTCAAAACCCTGGTTCTTTCAATATCGCCACTTTAGAAAAACAATCACCTCTACTGTTTGTCGCCTTCGCTTTGGACATGCTTATACTCCGGTACACTTGGCTAAACTAAGGATTAGGGATAGCTCAATCTGTGAATCTGGGCTAGACGAAGTATCTTTAAATCATCTGTTCTTTGAGTGTCCTAATCTTTCTCACTCTCTCTATGATATCCTGCCCAATTACGTCCCGCGTCCTGTAAATTTTCAGTATTTGTGGTCCCTAGTGTATACTCCTTTTGTAAATATTTTGTGTGATTTTATTCGTACTAATAATATTAAACTGTAAAATTACTAATCAATTTTGGTGATGGTATTTAAAAATGTGACATCTTTTGTTGTAGATTGTGAACCCACTCGTAAAATTGAGACCTCTTTAATGTAATAAATATTTACTTGTCACTCCCACGACTGACTTGACTGACTGAGAAGCCATAATTTAAAAGAAAAAGAAGAACTATGGCAAATATTCTAATCATAAGGTAATGTATGGGTGAGGCCTATGTTAAGTGGTGGATTTTTGATAGGCTGTAACAATAAATGTTATATACATCGATATATATGTACTACGTACTAGATTTCCCATTCCGAACATACACTATGTTCAACTGAATTGTACTGCAATCCGTACAGTGTGTCAGTTAGTGTGGTTTCAATCTACTAGTTAGTCTGTGGTTTCAATATACATGCAGTGTGGAGCGGCGCCAACGCGAAGACATAGAGTAGTGCACATTTTTAGTTTAGAATGGCGAAAGGGAACTCACTACCCAAATATCATTCCGTGGCTGTCGTTAGGCAACAAAGACAAACTGACCAAGAGAGACAACTATGGCAAACTAGCTGATACCCGCTCGCTTCGCAAGGGCACACCATAATATTTTATTGCGGAATCTATTACATATTTTTTATGGGACTATCTTACATAATCAATTCTTAGTGAGCGTCAAATGCAAACATTGCAAAATGATTAACTAACTATACTCAATTTCAAGTCAATGGGGTGTATATTTTTAGAGATCTCGTCCACTCAGTCAGTGGTATTCTTTTACTCTTTTCTCGTTTTCAGGAGTGTCAAAGGTACGACTACGAGACATGTGGTACTGCAACTTAGTAAAACTGCCTCTCAATGATTGAGACGTATCCTTTCTACAATAAGAGAGACACATGTTCAGTAGTGCATTGATGATGATGAAGGAAAAGAAAGATAAAAAATAATGTCGATTATATTCTCCAAGTCAATTTGGAGCTTCAATGCCTAGGCCGCCCGAATACGGAAAACGACACTATCGACCGATAACCATACATTTAATTACTATTATTCATAAATCTCAAGTACATACATACATTCTCTACAACAAAATGTCGAAACAACCGTTATTTGTAAATAAATTAGGTCACATTATGTTACGCTGTTATCTACCCAGACAAAGCAATGTAAACATGGACGCATATCGCAAAGTCGTCAATTGTTATGCAAGTTATCCACAGTTACAATCATAACATCATATTCAAAAGCATTATCTCCTCTTTTCTAATTCTAAATATAAATTTTCAGTTTAAAAAAAAATCATTATCATCATCATTACAGCCTATCAGTCTACTGCTAACATAGGCCTTCCCCAATGATAGTTTCATAAGGGGGGACATCTGGCATAGTTGCCAGACTTGGCAGGTAGGTTTTTTTTAATGTTATTAGGAAGTTGCTGCTGCATACTATATATCCTGGAATGTCCTCTACATCATATCGCACCCTATGGGTGTCATAGGGTGCGATATGAGGTAGAGGATATTAGTACACCGTCAACATGGTCAAAAAAAAAATTAAAGTAATAATATTGTATTGATCTATTAATTCATTATCAGCTTATGAATGTCTACCTCTTTGTTTTTTCTGTTATTTTTTTAAATATTGTAATTAATTTTTGCAGCAATGCAACATTCTTTGATATATTATCAATTTTATTGCAAAATTTAAGCAAATCAAATTTGAGTATGTTGTTATTATACCCTTGCTTTATGTACTGCATAATATATCCCTGATACTGCATATACATTTTCAACTTATTTGAATTTTGACGCATTTAATACAAAACAAGTGGTAAAATTAAAAAATTGTACAACCAACTTCAATATAAATAAAATGAGAACATCATCAATGTAGTCGAAGTCAATTATTATGTGTTATTAAGGAAAAAACTACTGGTTAGACTTTGTGAATTTACACTGGACTACATAATAAGCACCAGCTTTCAAATAAAAAAAAGTATCATCAAAATCGGTTCACCTAGAGAAAAAAGTTCTGAGATAACACACATAAAAAAAAAATCGAATTGACTGATGTACCTAATGGTTGGTCATAAAACATTTAACACTAGTAAAGGGATATAAGGGCTGACAACCAATTACTACATGACATGAAGGGGTGGGGGTGGATAAATATTGTCACATTATGCTTAAGAAAGAAAGATATCTCTTCCTCATTAAAGTCATGATTACTAACATATTGCCAGCACACAGTCCACCTGATGGTAAGTGGTTGCTGCGGCCCATAGACATCTACATCTATCCTCTATTACAAATCAAAATGTAGATGCGTTGTCACCCGTGAGGACTAAGATGGAATGCCTCATTTCCAGTAAAAAGGGCCTCCGGCCGCCTGCACTCACCAAGCGAAACGCAGAGGTAAACCTCTACGTCACGCTGGTTTTCTGTGAGGTCGTGGTACCACCCCGGTTCGAGCCGGCCCATCCGTGCGACAGCTAAAGCTGCCGCGTGGCTCTACCACTTAAAAATATTGCAGATTACATATAATTTTAAACTACCAACTAACAAATTTTAACCGTGTATTGGTGGCGTAAGAATATCTAGTACTCCAAATCGCCTCGTGGTGCCGTAACGTGACGCAGGGAAACTGAAACGAGATGGGCAGCAGCATCTTCCTATTAGCAACCCAAAATTATAAAAAAACATGGTTGCCAACCTGCCTGTCAAAGGTGGCGCTATGGCAATGGTAGGTATAGTAAAATCCTCCCCATACAGCAAACTCTATGAGTTCAGCCATGGACTTGTATTTTTTTATAACATATAGGTAACAAATGAGCACACAGTCCACCTGATGGTAAGTGGTTGCTGGTGGCCAATAGACATCGACATCTATCCTCGATTAGTAATCAAAATGCAGATATGTTGTAACCCACGCGGACTAAGGATGCCTTGTTTCCAGTAAAAAGCGTCTCCGGTTCTCTACTCACCATATGAAACACAGCAGCGTTACGCTGCTATTTTACATATTCTGTAAGAGTGAGGTCCATCCCCAGTCGAGCCGAACCATTCGTGCTACAACTATACCGCTAATATAGCTGCAGCATGGCTCTACCATGTAAAGTATTGTATAGGCTGTAATGTATAGATGGATGATTTTTTTTATTAAACTAATAAACTAACCAGTCATACCTTACTGCTTATTTATTCAGTAAATGGATACCCAAAAATTCCTTTTTTAGCACATTTCTATTACATACAGAGCCAAATTTAAAGAGCAAATAATTTTAATATACTTTTGTTTAGGGTACAAATGAAGGAAAAAGATATTTTTGCGAAAAGTTTGCAGATTAAAATAATCCTAATGTGAGGGTAACATTTTTTTTTTAAAGAAAAAAAAACTGCCAGTCGTAGAACTGCATGTCAGAAGTTATGACGGTCACCCAAGTTTAGTGCTTTTTCCTCATCCGAAAAGTGCCCAACATGTCTAAAGTAGTTTACACTTCAATAAAAAACAAGAATAAAAAATGTAACACGTGATTTTCATACAAAATAAATAAATAATTGAATTGGATTATTTAATGAATTACAGGGTCACTTGAGTCAGATTGTTTTGTCTAAGACATATTATGTAGTTAGTGAATGCTTATAGTAATTTAATTAAATTTAATTAATTTTAATTAAAAGTTTTAATATTAAATCTTTATATATAAAAATTATGTGTCACATTGTTTGTCCGTGATGAACTCCTAAACTACTGAACTGATTTCAATGAAATATTGCACACTCTGTGCAGTTTGGTCCAACTTGAGAGATAGGATAGTTTTTATCCTGTTAAGTGACCCTCGATATTTTTTTATTAAGAATTTAAGGATTTTTTATATGAAGGGTCGTCGAAAAGGGCAGAACAACGTCTGCCTAGCCATCTAGTTGTAATATATAATAATAATAATATAAAATACTTACACTTACTCTTTCAATCTTGGGTATGATTGCAAAAAACAATGTTCTTATTAATACACATGTCATGAGTCTTACAAATACTAAAAATAATTCATGGACAAACTTACATGAGGCGGAGGTTGTGCTGGTGTTATTGTTAAACCACTTGCTGTGAGAGCTCTTAGTTCACTTAATTCTGGTGGTAAAGACCTAAAATTATAAATATAAGTAATTATGAAAGTTAAAACTAATAGACAATTCGGTAAGATCTAAAAACCAAGCATTTTAACAAGTTAATATTAGGCAAGAACAAAAGAAGACATGGAATAGGTTTTCAATCTAATTCAAAAAAAAGGAGGAGCTTCTCAGAATTTCTTCTTTAGAACTTTTTTATAGGCAAACCAATTTTGATGATTCTTTTATTTTTATTTGAAAGCTGGCGCTTCTCATGTGGTACTATATAAATTTGATCAGGGTCTGACTAGTAGTTTTTAAGTTATCCTTAATAATGTGTATTTAATTGACTTCGACTACAATGATGATATTCTCTTTTTTTATATATTGAAGTGGGTTGTACAAAATTTTTAATTTTACCACTTTGTTCTATTATATTTTAGTATATGATCTCATATTTTTATCTGAATAAAGGGATTTTCTAAATTGACACTGGTGTAATATAGGAAAGATATTATGTGAATAGAGATGTGTTGTTGGTACTAAATCTTTAATTATACTGCTCTTCTACCTTTACCCTATATATATATATATATATATATATATATATATATATATATATATATATTAGTGGGGGCTACAGTACACTGGAGGATAGCTGTACAAGAATGTTTAGGATTGTATATATTTTATGAACTTAGCAAAATAAATCTTAATTGAGTGTGGTATCATTTCAAAGATCTTTGGTCTTTTAAAAACAATTTTCAGGTTCCACAATTTTTAGCAATATTGATTGTGTTTTGAGAATTAAGTCATTTTCAAATTATCATGTTTTAGAGTGGTCCTTATCTCTCTCATCTTTTCCCTTTAAATAATATGATAAGTAAAGACATGGCAAAGTGTCTAAAATCATAGAAAGTTTGCTTATGAACTCCCCATTATCATCATCATCATCATCATTACAGCCCTTCACAAGTCCACTGCTGAACATAGGCCTCCCCCAAAGAATGCCACAAAGCACGGTCCTGAGCCACCTGCATCCATCGACTTCCTGCATGTCTTACCAGGTTGTCACTCCATTATACAGCCTCATAATGTATATGTTATGTATTTGGGTATGTTATGAAGTTAGTTAGTTAGTTATGTATACTAAACAATGAAAATCATATTTTGTTCTTTACAATTGGAACACATAATCATCCTTGTTTATTTGTCTTGTTTTCATCCATTATAATATCTTCCCTGCTTAACCTAGAGGGAGACTGGTAGAGAATTCCTGGCATTAAGTTGTCATATTTGTTAATGCTGTACAAATACAGTTTAAATAAATAAAAATTCTAGGGAACATTTATTATAGTTGGCCTTTTGAACCGTATAATGGCAGTGTAAGAATATGCACAATCCCATATCATCCCATGGGTGTCATAAGAGATGATAGAAGAAAACAAATCAGGAGATCAATAGCTTCTTCCCTATAACAATTAAAAAATAAAAAACTACTGTTTAGAAAACACTTGCCAAGTGTGGCAACTATTGCAAATATCAATCAATCTAGGGAGAAGCATATATTCAGCATTGGACTTAAATAGGCTGTAACGGTATGAAAACTATAAATAGATTTTTTCTAAGCTACCTCCATACTTGTACATGCATATAAATCAATGTCCAGAGCTGATGAACTATTATTATATATTATTGATGTTGCACAGTATAATTCAGTTTATGATCAACCACCATAAAAAATGAAACTCCTGAAATTGCTAAATAATAAACATGCAGAAACAGATGACACAAGGAATGCAACTTTGTTTTTAAATATTTTGACAACAATAATACCACACATGCTAATATTACTTTAAGAAAAGATTATTATAAACAAAATAATAATATGTTTCTGCTCTCTTTAAATATTAATAAGAATAAATTGAAATGTATGATTGTGAAAAAGATCACATTACCTGACACTTAAGTCGACTGCCGAGTCGTCAACGTCCATTGTAGTCAGTCCACTGTACTCAAACAATTACAGAATCAATTATACAATCAATCGTATCTAAAAATCAATAAAACTAAATATGCTATTACGATATGTTTACATTAGGGTTTTTAATTATGTACATGCAGGAAATGTCCTAGTTTTGTTATTTTAAGTCATCGTTTCTAAATATTTTGCAGTCTGGTAAGAATTTTGGAATATGTATATGAATATTCCAAACCTACGACCGGGTGACAGAAACTGACAATAGTAATGAATGGACAACAACTCGATAAATGCTAAGACGAACACTACTTAAACATTTCGTGATAATAGAATTCCATTATTTACCTATTTTTACGAGAACTAAACAAATTAAAATAACACTGAATCAAAAACTGAAGTTTATTATAATAAAATTATTTTACACACAATCCACCACACACATCAAGAACAATTTTTTCTATTAAGATATTTGGCTAGGATGCTTGTCGTTTAGGCCATTTCAAGAGGAAGCTACAAATTCACCACAGATTATGGTGCTACATATTATGGACTTAATGAACAGTGGAGTGGACACTTTCTACGGAGCGGAGAGGCGACGTTCACCCGGGAGAGTGAGAGAGGGAGGATAAAATTTATCTTCGCTCTATACATCAATAACTAATAAAAAACTAGATACACAATCAGTGACAAAAAATGACCTTACCGAATAAGCGCCCACTCAAACATTGGAGTGCGCTTTTAATTTGTACGTAGCTTTGTGAATACAATTTTAGGAAATGCATTTAAGGTTCATCATCATCATCATTACAGCCCTTCACAAGTCCACTGCTGAACATAGGCCTCCCCCAAGGAATGCCACAAAGCACGGTCCTGAGCCACCTGCATCCATCGACTTCCTGCATATCTTACCAGTTCGTCACTCCATCTAGTGGGGGGATGCCCTACACTTCTTCTACCGGTACGAGGCTGAGCACTCGAGAACCTTTTTTCCCCATCGGTTGTGGGTTCTTCTAGCTATATGACCGGCCCATTGCCACTTTAGCTTACTAATCCGTTGGGCTATGTAGGTCACTCTGGTTCTACTGTGGATATCCTCATTTCTTAGTTTATCACACAGAGAAACTCCGAACATAGCCCTCTCCATAGCTCGTTGAGCGACCTTGAGCTTCCTTATCCGGCCAGCAATGAAGGACCACGTCTCAGTTCCATATGCCATCACTGGCAACACGCACTGGTTGTACAGTCTCGTTTTCAAGTTTTGAGGTATACCTGACGAGAAGATGTGCCGTAATTTTCCGAACGCTGCCCATTCGAGTTAAATCCGTCGATTGACCTCTCGGTAGAAGTTGGACTTACCTAGTCGGACTATTTGTCCCAGGTAAACATACTCGTCAACAACTTCGAGCTTAGTGCTCACAACAACATAGATGTGACATGGACGTTAAACATGATTTTTGTTTTATCCATGTTCATCTTAAGATCTATCCGTTGGGAAATACTATTGAGGTCATTGAGCATAGTGCTTAGGTCCTCCAGCGATTCTGCCATAGGGACTATATCGTCGGCAAATCAAAGGTGAGTGATGTACTCGCCATTGATATTGATACCGTATCCTTTCCAGTCCAGAAGCTTGAAAACGTCTTCCAATGCAGCGGTGAAGAGTTTCGGGGATATGACGTCACCCTGTCTTACACCTCTCTGCAATTGGATAGGTTTCGTACTCTGGTTCTGTACTCGGATAGCCGTCGTAGCCCTACTGTACAAGCACTTCAACACCTCGATATACCGACAGTCAACTTGTCACCGCTGAAGGTACTGCAGCACCGCCCAAATTTCGACGGAATCAAAGGCTTTCTCATAGTCCACATAAGCCAGACATAGTGGCAAATTGTACTCCTCGGACTTCTGTACAATTTGCCGAAGGGTGTGTATATGGTCTATGGTACTAAAACCTTTTCGGAAACAGGCTTGTTCGGGAAACCGGAAGTCGTCAAGTCTGCGTGCGAGACGATTCGTAATTACTCCCAAAAACAGCACGTGGACGCGGCTCAGAAGGGAAATCGGTCTGTAGTTCTTCAAGAGAGCGTTAACCGATCTATGTAAATATATATTTCCTGATTCAAAAGCTGAAATCGGTCTGTAGTTCTTCAAGAGAGCGTTGTCGCCTTTCTTGAAGAACAAGACCACCGCACTTCTGCTCCACGCCTCCGGTATAATGCCACCAGGTTTAAGGTTGAATTTAAATAAATGTACAATTATTTCAACTAGATTTACGTCAAAGCAATTGGCGATCGTTTTTAAAGAAGTTTTGCTTGGGATTGTGTATCTAGTTTTTTTACTAGTGATCGATGGCTCTACAAAGTACATATGCCGATAGATAAAAGTACTCCATTAATGTTGCCAATTTTTTAGCTATGATGATTGAACTAACCTCGCTCCTGTATATACTTATTGTACTCTTTGCCTCGCTCATAGAAGCGTACTGTTGATTTTACTCAGTGCTCATATAATATATAGAATGTAAGCAAAAACTATATTGATAATATAGCTTCTAAGTATAGCTCGTTTCGGATTGCCATCCCATCGATCTATCAGAGTTAGGAAATAGAGTGTGTTTGTATTTATGCACACAATCGTACACTATAAAAACCTATCTTACTTCATATATCAAACCTATCATAACGTGGCTTCCCCCGCGCGTAATTTATTACGATTGGATTTCATGGGTTTTAATTTTTTGCGTGGAACCCTAATTCTTTTTCTAAAATAAAAGTAGTCTATGTTACTTCTTATAACATCAGCTATCTGCCAGTAAAAGTCCTATCAAAATTGGTCCAGCCGTTTCGGAGATTACCGGAACAAACAGACAGACAGACAGAAAAACACAGAGACAAAATTTTTAAAAATCGTGTTTTTGTTATAAGTACTGTATATACTTTCACATGCATATAGTAAAAAGCTGTTATTTCGACATTACAAACGGACACTTCAATTTTATTTATTTGTATAGACAACCAAACCAACCAGCCGCTTGTGCAAGATATACGAGATCTCTCGCGGGTCGATGTGAACATGTTTAGACTTGCAATTGCTTGCACTCGCAACTATTGCAGGAAACGTTTGACAAACTGTCGCGCGTGCGCTAGCTATCTGTTTACAGCTATGTGTTGAAAGACTGTCGGACACTTGTTGCAGAGGTTTTCTTGAAGGTGGAAACGCGGCCATAGATTATCGGACGAACAACTCGCCGAAGCCGAGCCGAAACAGAGTTAAACGTCTTATACACGGTCCATCTTGACGTACATCTCACCAAGGTCATGCACGACGCACGATGCAAAGCAATAATGAACAGGCTTGAAGTATGTACGTCACTTGACGTACGTGGCATAGTACGTACGTACGTATACGCCAGTATATTCTAAGTGTATGGACTAGGTACCTTCAAACTACATACTAAAAAATAAACTGTAATAGTACTATATAAAAAAAATGAATATAACTAATGCTAATATAACTTAATGAATCATATTTATTTCAACTTCATTTTGAAACTTTACAAGAGCTACTGTGTGATCCTGATGTGGATTGTTTCTATATTTTGGGCGACTATAGTCTCCCAGATGTAACTTGGACACGAGGAACCACAGACGCCTTACATGGCAGTGGGGTGGGCTCATCCGTTACCAATAACCTATTATATAATTTTTAGATGTCTCATTTCTAGATGCTGCGCAATGCTACGTAGTGATTACTAAAAACAAAATACTTGATTTATGCATATCAAACCGCTCGTGTAAGGTATTCGCCGCGTTGAGTCCCCAACTTCCTATTGAGGCATATCATCCGCCCTTTATCTGTGATATAGCTCCCAATGTTGATATTGTTCCGATGAAAAGGCGGCGCTTCATAGGTACAATTTTTATAAGTCCGACTACACGCACATCATCCGCAAAATACAGCCCACTGACTGGGATGAAATACTTACTCCCCTGGGATCTGAAGAAGCTCTTAATGCATTTAATGGAATAATTGACGAAATTATCAAGCAACACACCCCGTTTGTTAGCTCCAGAACCTCTGCTTTTCCGGTCTGGTTTTCAAAATCTCTAATTAGCACAATTCGAAATAACTTAAAGCGTGGGTGAAATTGAAGATATATAACAACATATCCGACTATGAGATGTTTTCTCATTAAAGGACGTTATTTAAGGATATGTTTAAGAAATGTTTTTCTAAAAACATTGGATCTGTCGAGGATAGCATACGCAAAAATATTAAGGATTTCTGGGTATACATCTCTAATCGTCGTGGCAAACCTGGAATACCGGCTAAGGTTGAATATAATAATGATATTGCAAGTAATCCACAGCCAATATGCAACATGTTTTCTGAATTCTTCTCTTCCGTTTATGAACCGCCCTCACCTACACTATTGCAGTCGAGGCTACCTGCCTATTTAGCATCCCATGATACCACTATTACTGACCTTCATTTTGAAGTAGAAAAGTTATTAAGAGAGCTGAAATCCCTGGATCCATCTAAGGGGCCAGTCCCTGATGCCCTATCAGCTTATTTTTTAAGAAACAGCGCCTGTGTTATATGTAAGCCCCTAATTATTATTTATAATAAATGTCTTACTGAGGTATTATGCCAACAATACGGAAACATGCTAATATCACACCTGTACACAAGAGCGGATCTAAATGTAGTGTAGATTAATATCGCCCGATATCAATTTTGTCCACTTTGTCGAAGCTCTTCGAGAGACATGTGCATAACGAAATATATCCCATACTGCATAATATCATTATACAGCAACAACATAGTTTCGTTAAACGTCGATTAACAGCCACCAATCTGTTATTATTTTCCAGCTACTTATTCGAAAATGTTGATAATCGGGTTGATGCAGTATATACAGACTTTCGTAAGGCCTTGGAATTAGTAACATTTCGATGTGGACCACGAAATGTTACTAAATCGAATAGCTTACAATAGCATTCTGGGTAATTTGTTACGATGGTTTGTTTCTTATATCACTAAACGTTGTCAAAGGGTTGTAATTAATGGATACCACTGTAACGTTACGATGGTTACCTCCGGTTTACCTCAGGGATCTATTTTCGGTCCTCTGTTATTTGTAATGTTTGTGAATGAGATAAGTAACTGTTTTCTGAACTCTAAATTTCTATTATATGCAGATAATCTTAAAGTTTATAAATCTATTCATACTACACAAGACTACATTCTTAGACCTTAGATCTAGATAGACTGACAGACAATTGTTACAAAAATAAACTTCAGTTAAGTATTCCGAAGTGTAAATATCTCAGTATTAATAAAAACAAGAATATTTTTAAAATCGCGACATTTTCGAACATGCCTAATAATACATTCAAGAACAACAATACTTTAACAAAAGTACAAACTGCAACTTACATTTCTCAATAAATCAAACTGCTACACGAACACAATACTGTTTATTACGTTTTATAGACTTCAACATATATTATTCACTCACAGTATATTTTTAATAAATAAAGTAAATTCACAGCACAGATTAGGTTACACGCCGGGATTCACGGCTTTGATTAGAAATAACAATGCCAAGTGAACACTTTTTATTAGTAAGTGACGTATGTTACACGTGGTGGAGCCATGTTGCAGCTATATTAGTTGTAGCATATATGAGTCGGCTTGGCCGAGCTAGGACCACGCTCTCACAGAATACCAGCGTAAAATAGCAGCTTAAGGCTGCTGTATTTCGTATCTTGAATGTATGAAACCAAGGAAACCTTTTTAATGGAAACGAAGCATTTGATCTTAATCCTCAGGGGTGACAATGCATCTGCATTTTCGAGGATAAATGAAGATGTCTATGAACCACAGTATCCACTTACCATCAAGGGAAACTGTGTGCTCGTTTGTCATCCATATTCTATAAAAAAACGTAAGTAACGACATCTTTCGATGCGTTCATAAATATTTATTTGATGCGTTCAAATTATCAACCAAGTAAGACCGTTTGTTTTGACCCCGACAACAGCAAAAAATTAAAAATTTATCGCTAGATCTTGAGTCAGTCCGATTCAAGAGGTTTTCGGATCGATTCATCGAATCTGTGTAGTCTTCCTAATTGATCTGGAAAATCAATTATTTTACTCAAAATAATCGATTTTTCGACATGCCTACTGTGGAGTGTGGATTCCTGTATAGGACAGTTACTATTAGCGATTGGTCATTGATTGTTTTTCCGTTAACGACGACGTTAACGTTGATTTACGTTTACCAACTGGTTAATCAACTAGTTAAATTCGTCAACTAGTTAACGTATTACTAATGTCAATTTGCAACGTAATCAGTTAATTCATAGAACGGTTTTAATTCAGCTCTGTGACGTTCAATTTTAGAAACAATTTGATTCAATGTATGTATAGGAAAACGTTTGATTGATGGTTCTACTTAGATGACCTGCCCCTCATGGCGGCCATGACGGCCCTTTTCTTCGGGCATAGGACTGACTAAATACAATGAGATATAAACCATATTCTACTCAGACGTATTTAAAAGATCATAGAACCATATGATGTACACAAATCAATTATATACAATGTGTATTTTTATGGTTTTGTTTTTTTTTCGAAATGCAGCCACAATTCACTGTTAACCCCACGTCCCGACATTTTATGCAAATATACACAATTATATTAACACGAACAAATTAACACCGTTAACACTATAAACATTAACTAAATAGTCTAAACTCTAAACATTTACGATAAGCCCTCTTGGTAGAGAGTAATTGTGTTCTGTGGATAAGCCGCAAAATAACTTCTGAACTTCCGCGCAACTCACAAACTGTCAAGTGTCAATCAAAAATGAAAGAAAGCGAACTTCATATCGTTCGAACATCAAACGTAAACAAAAAATAGTTTTAACGAGCAGTTCGTTGCGATTGCGTTCTCGATTATTCAATGAGACCAAAGAGTATAGTAAGAGACGCACGAGTTAAATTTATAAATGTCGTTGACGAATTCAACTAACTAAGTGATTCACAAACAGTTAATGTTAATACGTTGACAGGAGATCAACGGCTGATTCAACTAGTTCGTTGATTCCACGCTCATCGCTAGTTACTATAGTATATATACTCTTTGAGTGTGGAGCTGCCAAACAAATTTTGAGTTTTTGTGGGAACTTGAGCGACGGCGGTTTGCTGCTCCTGTATTATTGTTTAAATAATGGTTTGAAGTGGACTTTGATATGTAAAAGTGCGATTTTATGTATCAAGTGTCTGCGCATGTGAACTATTAGTGGAAATTGTGAAACAAGTGCTCTGATGGTGATGTGATTCTCAAAATAAGGTGTCTGTCTGCTTACACGCCTTGAGGTACGATCGCCAAACGTCAACTGTCTGCTGGCTCAAGTTGCCGTCAAAGTCCTCCAAGGGCTGCACCACAGACTTATATGATGCTTAATTTGGGCTGCACAATGTGACGCATCAATATATTGTGAAGCAGTATATTATGAAGGATAATTATAATATTATATTGTAACTTCAGGCTCAAAAGGGCTAGATCCCAGAGCCGTAAAGCCAGATACTAAAAATAAATTAAAAATAAATAGTTTTACTTGTACCAAAGAGTATAGTAAGTGATAGTAAGTAATATAGACTTGTACTTCACATTCACAAACCATTTAATTATTTAATCATTCTTTATTCTTATCGCAAAAAGTATTTAAGTTGATGCTTACGTTCGGACGAATAAAACCATAATTGTGAAAAAAAAAACGTAGTGAATTCTCAATGAGATAAATGAATGAAAACCTTGTTTTATTGGTTATATTTACATTGTGTAAATTTGAAATATTATCTTTAACTATTTTGTTATAATCAAGAATATTCCAACGACACGAAGTGATTAATTTTTTACAAGCTACTAGTTACTAGAATGCCAGGACCAGACTTACTTTCGAGTCAAGGACTTCGTCTAGACGGGCGCCGACCCAACGAACTTCGTCGAATAAGATGTAAACTTGGAGTATTCACTCAACCAGATGGAAGCGCTTACTTAGAGCAAGGCAATACGAAGGTTTTGGCAGCTGTTTACGGCCCTCATCAGGTACCAAAATTTATATTTTTCTAGTTTATTCTTTATCCTTATTTTTTTTATAAGATAGGGTGACAAACGAGCACACAGTCCACCTGAATGTAAGTGGTTGCTGTGGCCCATAGACATCTACATTTATCCTCGTTTGCGAATCAAAATGCAGATGCGTTGTCACCCGTGAGGACTAGAATGCCTCTTTTCCAGTAAAAAGGGTCTCCGGTTCTCTACACTCACCATACGAAACACAGCGGCATGAAGCTGATATTTGACACTGGTATTCTGTGAGAGCGTGGTCCTTCCGGGGTCGAGCCGACCCATTCGTGCTACAACTATACTACTAATGTAGCTGCAGCATGGCTTTACCACATATTTTTTATCATAATGAAAAACAATGCAAAAATAAAACTATTTTATTGAAAATACAGCAAATATATTTTAGTGGTGCTGGCTCCAAGGACTGACTCGCACTGTTTACATTCAGTCAGTAGTCGTGGTAACTTCTGGAGGGTGGATGCACATTGAAGTGAGTGGGCAAACATGAAAATGAAAATGGCAGAATTTACAACAATTGAATTATTTGTTGAGAAAAGGTCCCTATCTACTGTTGAAAGAGTAGACAGAAATGTTAGAAAAAGATATATATCAACTATTAAAAAGAGATATTATATCAACTAATAATATCAACTAAACATCTTCTCGTCCTATCTCTAATTCTTCCATTATTTGACTATGCCGATGTTTGTCTAACTAATATTTCTCAAGAGCTGCTAAACAGGTTGGACAGGTTACTTAACAATTGTATCCGATTCATCTTTGGCCTGCGCAAATATGATCACGTTTCAGAATTTCGCTCTCAGTTATAGTGGTTGACTACATGCCAGTGCAGAGATTTCCGAATCCTGTCCACTCTGTTTTCAGTTCTTAATAGTCCTTCCTCACCCTTTTATCCAAAAGAAAGATTTCAATTCCTTAGTGACACTTTCTCTCAATCTCCATTCTTCACAAAGTTTATTCCTGTCCACTCCTCTCCACCATTCTGAATCTATGTCAAATTCTTTCACAGTTACTTCCATTACCCTCTGGAACAAATTGCCTGTTGACTTGCGAACAATACCTGCCAAAAATGTTTTTAAAAGAAAACTATATGAGCATATCCGTAGCCTACAAAGCTGAGTCAACTTATTTTATGTTTATAGTTATTTATATATACATTTATTGAGATATATATGTATAAATGTGTGTATTTATTTATATATGTATATGAATTATATATAATATGTGTATATTTTATGTATGTGTTGCATATATATATTTGAACTGAATTATATAATGAAAACTTAACTGCCCAAACTCGCTCTCTGTTCTACCCAAGGTTAGCTGGTAGAGAATGCCATATAGTATTAAGCTCACCTTTTCTACAAATATTTAGTGCAATAAAGAATAAATAAATAAATATTTAGAAAGAAACAACTTTGGATAAGAAAATGGATAGAGGCCAGAAAAGAAACTAGAGGTTCTGGTTTGTTGTTGACACTATATCACCCTACAATGCAACACCAGCGACAGACCAAGTACTGACAAGGTCAATACCATTGGTGGCGAGGTAGTAGACTGACTTTAAAATACTCAAGCAGGAATATTGAAATCAGCACTGGCACGACAGCGTTGTATTGCCTTCAAATCAATTTACACTGTCAGTATCAGTTCAGCACAGACTTGCCTGGAATTTGGAGCCAGTTACTAACCCTGTGTAAATGAGCCATTAAACACTGGAGATACTACAGAGGGTGTATGGTTTCAAAGTGAAAATCAGGCTGTGTTTGTCATACAACTTTTTGTCATATCACCTTTAGCTGTTGCTAATTATTTGCACTTACTGCTGTTAAAATAATTAGTAAAAATAGGTAGTGAGTAAAGTTTTATTACAATCAGTTCAGCCATTCCGAAAGTTAGCCCAGACGGACAAAACATTTTGAAATGGTTTCATATATTTTAATAAGCTTGGAAAAACACCCCCTGAGCTTATAGAAGCCAGTTATTTCAATATTATAGATAGACACTTCAATATTTATATGAATAGATAAGTTCATCAAGATAAAACCAAATTAAAAAAATAAGATTATAAAAAACAATTTCCATATAAGTAACTGCACAAAAATTTGTATTGCCAGTTTCCAATGTTAATAGAATAGCTAGGAGACATATTAGAAAATCACCCCTAGAAGCTTTGGAATAAGTGGCCCCAGTGTTTCACTGGAATTAATTATTATTATTATTAATTTAATTAAGTCTAAAATATGAGATGTCAGAAATTGCAATTATTGATAAAGGACCCCACACCATCCTGATGGATATTGGTTCCCGGTCAATTACACTGTAACTTCAGTATGCTTTTCTTCTTGATATTCTGATCAAATGCTCCAATGGGCTCGAGGTCATAAAGTCTCTAGTTTTCGAGATACAGACCATCGAACTTCCGATACATGGCTATCTCCTGTTTAGCTAGGCAGGGTGTCGGGAAACAACATAATACATATAAAGATAAGTGAGATATTCTCACCAGTAGCAAGGAACATCCCCTGCACTCAAATTTATCAGAAAACCAAGTACACTAATACCTATTGGGAGGTAGCTACCTAGCCCATTGGTTGGCCAAGTTGGTTCACCCAATGAGGTTAACTGGTTATGTGGGGTACTTGACTCAATTGGATCGAGAGGGCTGAAGAACGTGAAGCGCGTTATTTTCTTAGTCCAAGTAAGTCAACTGGTTATGTAAACTTACTTAGTGTCAATATAAGTACGAATCCACGTACGAACAACTTTAATGGGCACAAAGTTCGAAAATTGCTAGTTTTCGAGATACAGAGCGTCAAAGATTCGCTATATGACTATTTTCTGTTTAACTAGGCAGGGTGTCTTTTTTTTTTATAGAAGAGGGGGCAAACGAGCATGCGGCTCACCTGATGGTAAGTGACTACCGCCGCCCATGAACAACTGCAACACCAGGGGAATTGCAGATGCGTTGCCGGCCTTTTAGAAAGGTGTAAGCTCTTTTCTTGAAGGTTCCTAAGTCGTATCGGTCCGGAAAATTCGCTGGTGGTAATTGATTACACAAGGAAATTGTGCGAGGGAGAAAACTTCTTCTAAATCGCACAGTGCTGGACCGCCAATCATCCAGGTGGTATGGATGGTAACGCAAGTTTTGTCGCGATGTGCGATGGTGAAATTGAGCGGCTGGAATTAGTCCGAACAATTCCTCAGAGCGCTCCCCGTGATAGATGCGATAAAATACGCAAAGAGATGCCACATCTCTACGCAGTGCCAGTGTATCGAGCCGATCAGAAAGAACTCGGTCGTCGACGATTCGAACCGCTCTGCGCTGGATGCGGTCAAGTGGAAGGAGCTGGCACTGGGGTGCCCCGGCCCAGAGATGAGAACAGTATTCCATGTGGGGCCGAACTTGCGCTTTGTAAAGTTGCAAGCGATTTGCTAGCATGAAATACTGTCTCGCTCTGCTGAGCACGCCAAGCTTTTTAGAGGCCAATTTGGCCTTCCCTTCCAAGTGACCACGAAACTGCACAATATTCGATATGTCGACGCCAAGGATTCCGATACTAGCTGAGGCAGCAAGGGGGGTGCCTTGAAACTGAGGAGATACGACAAAGGGGTTCTTTTTAGCGGTAAACGCGCAAACTTGTGTCTTCTGGGGATTGAACTGGACTAGATTTAGTCGGCCCCAATCCGAGACTTTGTTAAGCAAAGACTCGACTTCAGACACAAGTTTGTCCCGGTACTCAGCGACGCGTTCCCGAGAAATATTGGCACGGCCGGTATATAAGGCATCACCAGTGCTGTCGTCCGCATAGCAATGAATGCTACCAGTTAGCAACATATCATTGATATGCAGGAGAAACAGCATTAGTGATAGCACGCAGCCTTGTGGAACACCAGGGTTAATAGGCTTGAAATCAGAGCATGCACCGTCTACTACGGCCATGATACTCCGATCAGCAAGGAAACTGGTGATCCATTTGCACAATTTCTCGGGAAGCCCATAGGAAGGAAGCTTCGAAAGAAGCGCTTTGTGCCAGACCCGATCGAAGGCCTTCGCTATGTCCAAACTAACGGCCAATGCCTCCCCCTTGGACTCTACTGCCTCCGCCCATCTATGAGTCAGATAGACTAGAAGATCACCAGCTGATCGACCTCGACGAAAACCGTACTGGCGGTCACTAATCAGCTGGTGATCCTCAAGGTACCTCATGAGCGGGCAGTTTATAATGGATTCCATTATTTTGGAGAACAAGGAGGTGATGGCAATAGGCCTGTAGTTGGACGGGTCTGAGCGGTCGCCTTTTTTAGGGATCGGGTGGACCAAAGCTGTCTTCCATGAATTCGGGACTACGCCTTGGGAGTAGGAGTACCGGAAAAGACGCGTTAAAACCGGTGCCAACTCCGGAGCACACGTCTTCAGAACAATGGGAGGGACTCCATCGGGCCCACTCGACTTGCTGACGTCCAGGGAGAAGAGTGCTTTGCGAACCGAGCGCTGTGTAAACCGCACATCCGGCATGGAGCACTCACATCGCGGGATGGTCGGCGGTGTATTCCCCCCGTCATCTAGAGTCGAGTTGGACGCAAAAAGAGAGCTCAACAGATCGGGAAACTAAATAATGAAACGGTCTTCAGACCGTTTCATTATTTAGTTTTTTATTGGATGGATTGAGGTGAATGTGATAAGCTGAAAGGTTAACAGAATTCTTTATAAACTCTGATCCTTTTGATCCTGCACCACCAAGGCACTGCGTAAGCGGTTGGCTGGCGCTCTCGTCATCTCGCACATGGACTGCTCTCTTATCTATCTTCATGTATCAGGTCAACAGAACACTCGACTCTAGCGAGTTTATAGCTCATGCGTAGGTACGTCTGTGGAGTCAGAAGGGACAAGCACATCTCCCCCTACAAAAGGAAAATAGGTTGGATTTCGGTGCGGGCAAGAAGGGAGTATTTTG